CTAATGAGCCCAGAAAGGTCTGTAGTTGTTTTGGGATGTTGAGTGTTGGGAAAGCCTCTATCTAATCTATAGAACAGCAGCAGGAACCACTTTTGTCTTACCTGACCAGACAACACCCAAATATTTGACAGACAACCCAGGCCCTTGTGATTTGTTGTTGTTTACCACCCATCCTTGCTGATGTAGGCGGGCGACGAGGGAGCAGGAGGCTTCCTGGAGGTCTAGAAAAGACTCAGAGGTTAACATGGCATCACTGAGATACTGAAACAAGGTAGCATCAGGGGCTTTTGCCCTCTGGGCCAGGTCAGTGGCCACAAGACCATGACAAATTGTGGGACTATGGAGATACCCTTAAGACAGAACAGTGAAAGTCCATTGTGTGCCCTGCCAGGTGAAGGCAAAGTGGTTTGACTGCCTTCATCCAGGGTGATGCTGCAAAAGGCATTAGCAAGGTCCAGACCAAAATGAGAGGTCCCCAGGGCATCCCCTATTTGCTCTAAGAGGGAGGCTATACTGGGGACAGCAGCCTATATAGGCGGTGTTACTTTGTTCAATTCTTTATAGTCCACAGTCATTCGCCAGGTCCCATCTGGCTTCCGGATGGGCCAAACGGGGCTACTGAATGGGCCACATGTAGGTCTAATGATTCCTACCTTTGCCAACTTCTGTATAGTTCCCATGATTTCATCTTGTCCCCCGCGGGAGACGATATTGCTTTATTGTCACCACACGACGCAGTTGGGGCAACTTCACTGGAGTCCATTTGGCATGGCCCCTTATTACAGCTTTAATCATGCAGACCCGGAGATGAAATTCCCCAGCAGTAGTCTGTAGAGTCAGGCCAGTGAAGATGTCCATACCCAGGATGTATTCCGCTATAGGCAATATAAACCATATACCGTTTTGGCAAGAGACGCCCTATCTGCAACACCAGCGGCACTAGTTTCACCTTGACTGTGCCCCCACCATAACCATCTGTAACAGAAATAGGGCCATCAAAACGAGATGGATTGCCATGAATCAAAGTACATTCTGCTCTTGTGTCTACTAAGGCTAAAACAGTCTATTTATTGTTGGTAGAGCAATAAATTGTCAGCTCTACATGTGGCCTCTGGTCCCCTGAAACTCATGCTACATGCACATGGTTACAGGGGTGAGTTGGGATCCCTTAACCTATTCCCTAGTCAAAAGGGCTGGGATGTTCCCATGTTGTCACGGGGGGTGCCATGGGGTGGGCAGCCCCAGGGGCTTCCCCAGAAGCAGGCTTGGTGAACCTCTGTTTTGGCTCTAATTTCTGCCATAATGCCACCAAAACAGTGTTCAGCTGCTTATCTATTTTTTCCCAAGGGGTGCCTGCAGCCATCAAGTCTTGCCACATCTGCCTAGAGTCAATCTAACCTTTTGCCCCCTTTATCTTCCTTCCCTCCCGGGACCCCAGGAGCCCTTACCTCCTTCTTTCTGATTTTGTCTGTTTCTCCCAGGTTGGCTATGGCTTGGGTTGCCCCGGGACACTGTTTGACCCACCAAAGGACTGAGAATTGAAACCAAGGCCCCATACCATTGGTTAGGAGCTGTTTCCAACACAGTGTCTTTTATGCCTGCAGTAAAAATCTCATCGTCAGGCTCTTGGAAGCGTTCAGTGCAAACCGCATGCTTCATACCTAATTCCCTCAATAATTCCTGTAGTTCTTCCATGGTCTGCCAAAGGGGAGGGGGCATGGGTATGTCTCCCTCATTGGTCCAGGCACCCCTGCAGGCAGTGACTAGCCAGGTCAGGAGAGAGATTGCCCTGTCCTCATTAATGCCGGCATAAGGGCGTTGCCGCAGGGTGGGGTGGGAGGTGACAGAAGCCATTTTTCTCATCTCCACCCCCGATAGCAAAATGCCTTCTGCACCAGCATCCCAGAGACACAAAAACCAGCTGGGGATACTTGCTCTCCCCTTCTGCCTAAATTTGTTGCCCAATTCCACCAGTTCTGTGGCGGTATAAGCCCTCTTGCTGGAATGCATATGCCAAACAGGTGGAGGCAGGTCCGTGGGATCCACTGTGTGGGTCAGGGCTGGTCAGACTTTAACTACTCGGTTAGGATGGGTGGGACAGCTATTACAGGAACCTCTAATGGTTCATCCCAGGCAACAGTGTCCTCACTTTCTTCATTGCTTGATTTACATGGGTCCCATTCTTTTGGCTTCCAATCTCGTTGTCATGAGAGCTCGTACCTTTGCCTGTGGCAGCCATCGCCCTTTCATCTTGGCGAAGCAGCAGGCTAAGGTCTTTATCTTCCCATGAGACTCCTGTAGGCTGTTGACAGAAGTTTGGCAGTTTTGGCTTGAACCAGCCATGCTTCCCTTTCTAATTTTAACTCGCCTTGTAGCTGCCTCACCTCCATCTTAGCTTCCATTTCAGCTTCTATTGCAAAGTGAACAGCAGCAAGGATGGGGCCACCTCACTGCAATAGCTTCTGCCAGGGCTTCTGATTTTCGTTTCCCCACATCAACCATGCCCAGGATTTCCCCAAGGCCCTTTGGCATTTTTGGGGCATCCCCGTACTCACATGGTGGGCCTCATCCATGTAGGATGGCAGTGACTGGTCCCCACATCGAAGATGCCGGTCAACTGGGGATTTCCCCTTCCCATTCCCCATAGTCTTGGCACTCACAAAGGTGTCTTTGGTCTCCTGGCTGGCCAGCCAAGTGTAGGGCTGCATGCCCAGCTGGGCTAGGGCAGTGAGGTATCGTGCTGAGAGACCAAAGAAATGACCCAGAGATGGTGGGCGAGACATACAGATTTATTGGTACTTACATTCAGGAAGAGAGTCCGGGGGCGGCCTGCTGGATATACATCTGTGCACCGCTACCGCCCTACCAAGAGAAGCTTGTTTAAATAGGCAGAGGAACAAAGGCTGCATGCTTGCCAAAGGGGATCGACCTGCATTCCAGGGACCAGAGCCTTCCCACCCCCCAGAGCCTCTGTGTTTCCTCAGACCTTGAGGGTCTTTGTGCTAACTGTCCCATGAGAAAACAGCTGGGTTGGCCAAACCCAGGACTGTTACCATCATGGGTGCTGGCACATAGCCCAGACAAGGACCTTCAAGGACACATGGTCTTTTTTTTTTTTGAGGAAGATTAGCCCTGAGCTAGCTACTGCCAGTCCTCCTCTTTTTGCTGAGGAAGCCTGGCCCTGAGCTAACATCGCGCCCATCTTCCTCTGCTTTATATGTGGGACGCCTACCACAGCATGGCATGCCAAGCAGTGCCATGTCCACACCCGGGATCCGAACCAGCGAACCCCAGGCCGCCAAGAAGTGGAACGTGCAAACTTAACTGCTGTGCCGCGGGGCCGGCCCCTAGGACACATGGTCTTAAAGGGGGTACACCAGCTAGTGCCCCTACAATCTCCATCAGAGAGTTGTCTGAGAGAGAGATTTTCCATGCTTTCCTTTCTTTCTTTTTTTGTTTTTAAAGATTGGCACCTGAGCTAACAACTGTTGCCAACCTTCTTTTTTCTTTTTCTGCTTTTTCTCCCCAAATCCCCCCAGTACATAGTTGTATATTTTAGTGGTGAGTCCTAGTTGTGGCATGTGGGATGCCACCTCAGAATGGCCTAATAAGTGGTGCCATGTCCACGCCCTGGATACAAACCAGTGAAACCCTGGGCCGCCGATGGAGGGCACAAATTTAACCACTTGGCCACAGGGCTGGCCCTCATGATCTCCTTTCTGACTGAGGACCCTCAAGAAGAAGTTTCTTTTGCTGCGGCATGGCCCACCCCCCTGTGTGGCTGGAGCAGAGCGCGCCTGGAGATGGTGGGGTGAAGTGTATCCGTCGTAGCCTCCCCACGAATGAGTCAGCTGCTCCCCAGATTCCCTGGTTCTGAGCAGTGGCTCCTAATATAGGCTCCATCTCATGCTATAAACACAAACAAACACAGCTTCAGTGGTAACACATTGGAATGTGGAAACCCATTGTGAATTCAGCTCCTCCCTATTGCAAAATTCTGATATCATAAGAGAACACAAGAAGTGAATCATCCTTGTATAAATATTTTGATTAGGTATTTTTTTTTTTTTGAGGAAGATTACCCCTGAGCTAACTACTGCCAGTCTTCCTCTTTTTGCTGAGGAAGACTTGCCCTGAGCTAACATCTGTACATCTGTGCCCATCTTCCTCTACTTTATATGTGGGATGCCTACCACAGCATGGCATGCCAAGCGGTGCCATGTCTGCACCCAGGACCGGAACCGGCGAACATGGGCTGCCAAGAAGCAGAATGTGTGAACTTAACCGTTGCGCCACCGGGCCAGCCCTTCATTAGATCATTTGCTTACAAGACTAGAAAAAGGGAAGATAAAGGAAAGGAAAGGAAGACTAAAAAAAGGGAAGAGGGGCTTACTTCTCAGCTGGGAGAACAATCTATTCTTACTTAAGACCATATTGCCCCTTGATCTGTTAAAAATACTATTCATCTGGTCAGGGGCCACAGCCTGGTTCTGATGGCCAAATCCACCCAGCTGGGCCTGTGCCTTTTCGGGACAGCCCAGCGGCTTGTTGTTAAATTCTGAACTTCCACAGCTTAGATATGGCATGTTCTCCACTTCCCTCCCATTTCCATCAGGACCTAATGTCATACACAGTTATGTCACCTGCAGGGCCCCATGGACATTTGAGTCCAACCTCTGAGTTCTACCTGTATTTTACAAACGGGGAAACTGAGACTGAGAAAGGATGGTTTGCCTAAGGCTGTACAGCTAGGAATTATGAGGCTCAAAAAGCAGGTCTCCAGCCTCCTGGCAGGAGGCTCCCTCCCTCCTGCTCACTGCACACCACCCTCCCGCAGCTTTTGCTAAGTTAACAGACATATGTGCAATTTCAGCATTCACCACAGATGCGGGGAGCATTCGCTGGGGTGGATTTTGTAATGACAGCACTTATGTAATGACAAGTTCTTGTGACCTTCCTCTTTCTTTTCTGCCCTTCTGTTCCTCAGGGCAAGATAAAGCGCACCCCACTGTTGTCATCAGGCCAACCTCACACGTGGAAGGAGGAACATGTTTCTATTTCTGCCTATTGATACTTCTTTCCAGCAAATGGCTCTGGTTGGCAGCTTTCTCCACATAAAATCCACAAAGTAAGTGTTTCAGACGGTGCAAATGGGGATCTCTTTCTTCTGGAAAAATCCTCCTTGTTAGTCAAGGCCCTGCTCAAATGTGACCTCTTGTGTGAAGCCGGCTCCACACATTAGTGATACCCGGTCCCACAGCTGGGGGGGTGTGTGTGTGTGTGTGTGTGTCTTTACATGTTGGTCCTATGTCTTACTTATTTTTGTGCCTTCACTTCCCCTTCTCCACTCTCTCCTCTCAATCGGTGTTTACTGAACAGAATTGAGAGGATTGAGGTTGATACGAGAGTTCCAGAAAACAACCTACTTTTCTACCAAACTCCTAATTTTCTACCAAAATTGGACAAGGACTAGATTTTGATTCTCTTCTTTGGAAAGGAAAACAAGTCACCGTGCAAAAAGGCCCAAACAGCCTCTACTGTTCCAGAAAACACTGCCTAGGGTTGGAGTGAGGGTTGGACAGGTTAGGCTGCAGCTTCAGGGGGACGGATGAAAAGCCCTGGAGGTGCCTGGTCTGGAGAGCGGTGAGGGACAGTGGGACCAGGAGGCTCCAGAAGGCCCCAAACCAGTGTTCATCTGAGTGTCTGAGCCAAGCTGGAACCCAGTAATGAGTTTAGGACCAGCAAAAGGAAATCAAACCCACAGGGAGATTAACGGGTTCCAGGGCCTCATATAAAGGAGACTCCCTGAGAGGATGGTGAGCGAGGGGGTAGCCAGGGGCCACAGGAACTTGTAGCCATTTGAGAGCAGTGTTGTCCAACAGAAACGCAACGTGCACCCCATGTGTAACGAAGTTTTCTAATCGTCAGATTAAAAAATATAAAAAGGTAAAATTAATTTGAATCATATATCCAAATATATCCAACATATTATATCTCATATATTAAAAAATATATCCACTATGTGGGAAATATTCTCATTTCAACATGTAATTCACTAAAAATTATTAATGGACTATTTTACATGTTTTTCAATTTAAGCCTTCAATTCTAGTGTTTATTTTACAGTTATAGCACATCTCAATTCAGATGATAAATTTTCATGGAAAATAATCTGTATTTAGATTTCATAAAATTTCCAATAGGAAAAAGCAGATTCACATACCCAAGTTGTTTCAGATGTACATAAAATTTTCCTAACACAGTCACGTGTCACTTAAGGACAGGGATACGTTCTGAGAAATGCATGGCAATTTCGTTGATCTGTGACCATCATAGAGCGTACTGACACAAACCTAGATGCATAGCCTACTACACACCTAGGCTGTACAGTACTAATCTTACGGGACCACCATTGTATATGTAGTTGGTCATTGACCGAAAAGTTATGTGGTGCATGACTATAACTGAATCAAATATAAGTTTTTAAAAATTATTATTTATTAATTTTTTGTGGTCCTTATCAGTATTCATTTAATTCTTTCTTTCCCCAGCTTTATTGAGATATAACTGACATATAGCACTGTGTAAGTTTAAGGTGTACACTGTGTTGATTTGATACGGTTACATACCGCAAAACGCTTAGCATCATAGCTGAGCTAACACCTCCATCACGTTGCATAATTTCCATTTCTTTTTGTGGTGAGAACATTTGCCATCTACTCTCTTAGTAACTTTCAAGTATATAATACAGTATTATTAACTACAACCACCACGCTGTACATTAGAATTTATTCATCTTATAACTGGAAGTTTGTACTCTTTGATCAACATCTCCCCATTTCCCCACCCTGAACATCAGTTTTTTAAGTTTAAATTTAAATTAATGAAAATCAGATATTATAAACTTAGTTCTTCAGTGGCACCAGCAGCATTTAAAGCGCTCAGCAGCCACTCGTGGTTAGCGGCTACTGGACTGGACAGGGCAGTTTCAGAGCATCAGGAACTGCTGCATTGCATACTGCCTACTCCCCCTGGCCTGGCGCTGGGCTGGACAGACGGGGGTCTGATCAGAGCCCAGTGCCCACGTTCTGAAGTTTCACAGTCTAGCTATGGTGGTTCTCCTGCGAGCCCAGCCTCCTCTGCCTTAGGCCTGGGTCACACTGGGTCACAATCTCAGGGCAGAAGAGGGATGTTTGACCTGCCCTTGCTCATGGCTGGAGACCCCAGAAAGCAGCTTGAAGGCTCAGCTATGTAACTCATGGCTGAACGGGCCCCGAACAGACCAGATGGGACCACCTCCATTTTTCCACGTGAAATAACATGACTAGTTCTAGAAGAGCCTTTCCCTTTTTAAGACTCACTGCACTGAGATGGATGGGCGACGATTTTCTTATAGACTTTAAGCTACTCCTTAAATTAGAAAAAATTAAAAATCAAATGGCTGTCAGGAATGTCTATTGCATTGCTGGTTCCCAGTAAATGCTTATTGGTAAATGAATTATTATTACTTTTAATTATACTGGAATATCCAATAATGGCTTTCTTAACTGGGGAAAAGAGGCAGATGATTTTTGTGGTTAAAGTTGTTTTACATTTCTGTATATTATAACAAGGGGAAAAGAAAGTCCATTGTTATGTAAATTAGTGAGGTTCCATAGCCTTTATCTCTTTCTTCTGATCGCTCTTAGAAGTTACTATTTAACCAGGAAGGAATTTGTTTTTTTTAAGTGTATATGAAAAACATTGTATGTATATATAAATATATATGTGAAGAATTTCTAAAGAATCTACTTGTAAAACATTCTTTAGGGTTTTACATCCCATGAAAGATCTTAAAATAAAAATAGTCATAACATGCATGCTTTTGACTAGATAAGCTTTTTTATAATCATATATTTTTTTTATTTTTTATTTTTTTTAAAGAAAAAAAAACTTGTAAAGATTGCCACAAGGTGGCACTAAAATCTAATGAACATTCCAGTCTTAGCTCTTGTCTGAGAGGATTTGGGGGTAAATTTACAGATCTGTAAGAAACACTGGACAAAAAACCCAAATAAATTAAGCTGAAGATTAACTTATTGGGGACAGATTAACATCTCCCTTTCGTCCGAAGGATAATTTCACCCTCTTGCTGGTGTGGGTATCTGTCATACAACGAATCTAGATGTTAATAAAGTTAATTATAAAATGATTTGTTCTCATAGATGAATCAGTTTTATCCCCTCCCTTCAGCGGGAGTGTATTGTGAAGGGAGAGGGGAGGCCAGAGACTGTGGGGCGCATCACCTAGTTTGGAAAAGTTTATCCTGTGAGTGGTGCCGTCTCCACAGAGCTTGTCAAAGTATCTTGGACAAAAAAAAAAAAAAATGAATACCATGAAAACAAGTTGCTGCAGAACCCAGATTTTTCTATTTGTTTACTTTGGCATATTTACCAACTGAATATTTTTAGAAATTATTGCAATATTGAGATTCAAGCTCAGGACATCTCATATAATATGTCTGAGAATCAGGAAATGAGTGAATTGAATTCCTCTTCCTGGTACTTTGTATTTCAGTTTTTAAAAAAACACATGGTACAAAGCTTTAATTGTTTGATATTTTAATATTTGAAGCTTAAGGACATAGCCAAGATTCCCAAGCTATATTAAGACCAAGGAAAGCAGTGTTAACAATACAGCTATAAAAGGTTTTGACTAAAATAAGAAAAATTCAGATAAGAGTCTTCTAACAGGCTAACTAAAAAAAAAAGAAAAAGAAAAAGTTTCCAGATTGGAGCTCTAAATCAATGATCAAAAAAACCTACTTTCTCCCATGGATCCCACGGTGGAAAAATTATTTACTTATTGACAGTTCAGTTCCTTAGATCTGGAAAACAACAAAACGAAACAAAACAGCTGGGCGTTGTAGAGGAGCTAACCCACTGTGAGGGAAGCACTTTCGGTCATCTGAGATGCTCCCCCTAGGACCGGCTCTAGGGGTGAAGGGGCACTAATGTCTTCTTTGACCTGATTATGTCTGCGGTGTCCATATAGAGACGGAGATCTCAACATATGAAACGTGTGAAAACTCCAGGACTCAGTAACAGCGGGCTGCATGGATTTGGTTGGATGGTTGTTAGAGCAGAGTCTGGAGTTTGAGGGAAGAGACCCCCAGAAAGTTCCAGCTGATTTCCTGAGCATTTAGGTGAATTCTCCACAGTGGTTTACTGATTCTTGCATAGGGTCAGGCATTGTGCTAGGTCTTCAAGATGCTGAGGTAAGACAGGCTCCTGGCCTTCCAAGAGCTTCCAGTCTTGGAGAGGGAGGCAGAATAATGAGGCAGTAACCTCATCAGTATGTGTTGGGTCTGTCCTTTGCTGAAAAGCTGGTAGGCATCCCACTGCCTCCATAGTAAGTATGGCCCAACCTGTGTATTTGGTACCTTAGCCCTCCATGATAGGCCCCAGCCTGAGTTCCAACTCTCTCTGTCCATCAAGTGCAGCCAGACTAAGCTATTACCGTTCCTAGAGTTCGTCCTACACTTTCCCACCTCTCTGCTTTTGTTCAAGCTGTTCCCCCTTCCCCGGAGGCCCTCTCCCCTCTTCCCACCTTTATGTCCATTGAAATCCATTGACTTAGGTCCTTCTGGATCAGATGTAGATGTCAGCTCCTGCAGGAACCGCGAGATCAATGAGCGAAGTCCTGGCGTGTAGCAGGAGACTAGGGTTCTAGCACCCCACCAGATACTAATGTGCTGCGTCCCTTCCCGGCCTGAAAGTTTCTTCCCCTCTCTCCTCCCCGGGGCCTCAGTCTCTTCTTGCCCAACAGGGTGTGGGGTGGTTGGATTCAATGGTACTATCGACTTCGGACAGTTCTCGGCCTTAGGACCAGCATCCGAATTAATCATGCAAACTAGGACCCATGCTGCCTCCTTCTGCTTGGTAACTTCCTCCAAGCGGTTCTGAAGTTCCGCAACCAGCGTCGACCTTCCTTTTTCACCGTCCCTTCTCCTAATCTTCACCTAGAGACCCAGTCTGGGGGCGGGGAAGGGGAAGGCGGCAGGACTTGTAAGAGCCGGGGGCTCTGCCCTGGCCCACCCAGCTCCTTCAAACCTAGGGCTGCCCAAGGGCGAGTACCCGGGGCGGGGGTGGGAGGGGGAGTGGTTGGCGGACTAGCCAGAGAGGGGCAGCTTCTAAAAGAAAAGAAAAGAAAAAACCCTGCTGGAAAACAAACGTGTGCGTGTGTCTGTTTATTTAAAAGCAAAACCACGGTAAAGGAGCCGCCCCCTCTCCGCCAGGTCCCACCACCCGTTGGGAGTTTGCGAGGAAGCTGCGGCAATTTTGAGCGGTAGGAAGTCGCCCACGCCCCACAAAGTGCCGCCTCTCTCGGACCGCTCTTCCAGGCCCCTCGGGCTCTAAGCAGTCCGCTCGCAGCCCCCGGCTCCGCGCGCAGAAGCTACCGGGAAGGAGGGAAGCCCGGTGCCACCAGCGCCCCGCCGCGCCAGCCGCGGCGCAGACTCCCCAGTCGCCGCCTCTCCCAGCCCCGCGGCCTGGGCCGTCAATCAAGCTCTCCCGGCCCCGCCCCTGGGCTGCAGCGGACTGCCAATCAGAGCCAAGCTCCGCAGCGATGAGCTCAGTCGGCTCGCTTCCCATTGGGCGGCTATATTAAGAAAGTGGCCCAACTGTTTAAATAGCGGGCGCTAGGGCCGCAGCCCGCATCTGCCACCGCAGTCTGGCTGTCGTTGTGCGGTCTGGTGTACCCTGGGCGAGGCCTGTAGACACCGGGAGGGGGCTAGGCCGGCTCCCCTGCTCGAGCTACCGTTTGTGCACAGAGGCGGCGACCCCGGGCCCGGGGCGAGAAGAACAGCCACCGGCCGGCAGCAGCGCAGAGACGCCCAGTGCGCCCTATGCTCCCGCGCCCCCACCGCCCCCGCCGCGGCAGCCCGAGCGCACCGAGACAACGCGCCACCGCGGGGCCTGGGTGCAGCTAGCGACCCTTGCCCCCATCGCGCAGCCCGAGGTGAGCAGTGAGCGGCGAGCGGGACGGCAGCGAGGCGTTCGCGGGCCCCCTCCTGCTGCCCGGGCCCGGCCCGCTCATGGCGGCCATCCGCAAGAAGCTGGTGGTGGTGGGCGACGGCGCGTGCGGCAAGACGTGCCTGCTGATCGTGTTCAGTAAGGACGAGTTCCCCGAGGTGTACGTGCCTACCGTCTTTGAGAACTATGTGGCCGACATCGAGGTGGACGGCAAGCAAGTGGAGCTGGCGCTGTGGGATACGGCGGGCCAGGAGGACTACGACCGCCTGCGGCCGCTCTCCTACCCGGACACCGACGTGATCCTCATGTGCTTCTCGGTGGACAGCCCGGATTCGCTGGAGAACATCCCCGAGAAGTGGGTGCCCGAGGTGAAGCACTTCTGCCCTAACGTGCCCATCATCCTGGTGGCCAACAAGAAAGACCTGCGCAGCGACGAGCACGTCCGCACAGAGCTCGCCCGCATGAAGCAGGAACCCGTGCGCACAGATGACGGCCGCGCCATGGCCGTGCGCATCCAAGCCTACGACTACCTCGAGTGCTCGGCTAAGACCAAGGAGGGCGTGCGCGAGGTCTTCGAGACGGCCACGCGCGCCGCGCTGCAGAAGCGCTACGGCTCCCAGAACGGCTGCATCAACTGCTGCAAGGTGCTATGAGGGCCGCGGACCTCCGCCTGCCCCTGCCGGCGCGGCTCCCTCTCCCGGACCCGCCCCCCACGAGCCCGGAGAAAGGGAGGCCCGCGCCCCCAAGGACCCCACCGGACCGCCTGGCGTCTGCCTTCCTGCTTGGCCGCCGTGGCCTGGCGGCTCTGGCTCTGGCGCCGGGAATCGGCGTGGGAGGCACCGGGCGCCCCCTTTCCAGTGTCTGTGTGCGTCCGGCTGTGTGGCACAGGCCTGGGCGCCCCGTTGCGTGCCAAGGGTCCCCTGAACACCCTTTTCTGAAGAGCCAAGCCTCTTCAGAGTGTGTGGCTGTGTGTATGTTCGACTCCCCCCGCCGCGTTTTCACCCCACCCCCGCCTCTGGTCCCCGGAGAGGAGCTTGGCGCCGGGGTGCGGCCGCGCCCCATCAGATGTTCGCCCGTACCAGCGAGCGCCTGCTCTCCCTTGTCTGTAACATAGACCACGGGAACTGCGGGAGGGGAGGGCTGGGGAGGATGGGATGTTATATAAATAAAGATATAATTTTATTTTCGGAGGTAGGATGGTGTTATTTAATGGTGGTGGTGGGTGGGGTGACAGGGCGCTGGAACAGCTCCGGCCCAGCCTGGGTCAGGCGCCCATCCAAGCATGAACAGGACTTGGCCATTTTTCCAACCCCTGGGGAAGACATTTGCAGCTGACTTGGGGCTGAGAGGACACAGCTTCCGGACTCTTCTCTTGCGCCCCGGCGAACCCCTCACGAGCCACCGGCAGAAGGAGGGAGAGTGTGCTGCGGGTTGATTTTGCCATAAGCGAACTTTGTGCCTGTCCTACGAAGTGAAATTGTTCAGTCCAAGAAAATGATGTTATTTGATTTATTTAAAGGCTAAAACTTGTTTATTTTGGAAAGGATTCTTTGCACAATTGTTTCATTGTTTGACACTTAATGCACTTGTCATTTACATAAGACAGTAGCATTCTGACCACACTTGTACGCTGTAACCTCATCTACTTCTGATGTTTTTTAAAAAAAAATAATGACTTTTAAAAAACAAGGAGAAAAGGAAACCACTAATTTTTGTTTTGTTTTCTTGAAGAAAGTGGCAACACTGTTTTTCGATTTTATTTGTGCAGGTATGCGCACTATTTTGATAAAGGGCAGTAACAAGTATTGGGGCCTATTTAAAACCTTTTTTCTTTTCTTTCCTTTTTTTTTTTTTTTTTACAAGGCAGTCTCTAGAGCTCTGTGAAATTTTCTCTGCATCTTTACAGAGAGTGAACCTAGGCTCTCCTTTCTCCTCCTCCCTTCCCCACCTCGTGGTACTTCTACTAAATTGTTGTCTTGTTTTTTATTTTTTAAATAAACTGACAAATGACAAAGTGGTGAGCTTATGATGTTTACATAAAAGTTCTATAAGCTGTGTATACAGTTTTTTATGTAAAATATTAAAAGACTATGATGATGACATTTATAAAATGGCTCCTGTGGTTTAATAGTGTGTAAAAATAGCCTTGTGAATTTGGGGCAAGGGAAGAATTCTGCTAGGTGGGGTCCTTTCTTGCCAGCAACTCCATTTCCCTAATAGTGTTTGTGGTAAATGAGGATGAAATTCCTTTGGAAATGTGTGGGGGTTGGGTGGCCTGGGAGATGAAGTTGCTCCTGTCTGTGTCCCAGAGGAAGATGAGTGGGTTACCCAGGCACCCAGAGCCAAAACCTGTGACCTAATGTGTACTGTTTGTATGTCTTACCAACACTTGTGTCTTAATCTATTATGGAGCCTTTGTCTCCTATTCCTTGAAACTTGAAAAATTGTCATTTGTGCACTTTAAATTTAGGTAACATTTTTTTGTTAATTACCAGTGTAGGGCCAAGCTCTCTCTCTAGAAGGCTGGTTACTGGATTCCCATCAGATCCTCAAGGGGTTACACAGGACCCAGTGGGATTGTAGGTGGTTATCTCTGGGGCTAGAGCTTGTGGGTGGAAGTGGAAGAGAGCCCACATCAGGAGCTGATTCTTCTATCATGGAACTTTGATGTGAACCTGTGTCTATACAGGACCTAGCATGCTGTAGGATGCTAAGTACCGAGAATGGGCACATTACGGACAGAACACTGAATGTTTTGGGTGGCTGTTATTTAAAGTTGGAGCAGTCGCATTTTGAGGTTTAATCATGATGAGCTCTAATTTCAGACACTTAGCTGCTGCTGGAGGTCTCAGAGCCAGACAGGCAGATTTGTACTTGGAGACCACATTAAAATCCTGCTAACAGTCATGATGGTTCAGGCCTGCCAGTTCTCAGCAGCTTTTAGAGAAGGTAGCTGATGGTGCCAACCTCTCCCACCTACCTAAGGAAGTGTGGTGTTTGTTTTTGGAATCAGCACTTTCTGGGTTTCTAGCACGTAGTTGCTCCCCCTCCACCCCTCCCCAACCCCTCTCCCACCCCGGGGCAGGGACAAGGAAGGTCCATTTTGAAGTCCTCTGCTTTAAAGCTTGAGGCTTCTGTTTCCCTGTCTTTCCCAGACTCCCAGGAGCTTTTGTTGAGTGAGGCAAACCTGGTCGCTGGTGACCTTTCACCCACTTAAACACGTCAGGAGCAGGGCCTCCTGTGCAGAACGCCCCATTAGCCAACAGAGGGGAATTGTCTGAGCTGCTCCAGACGCAGGGAGAGACGGTTGGGCCAGGCTGGCTGCTTCTCTGAGCAACGGCCTCCCGCTGTCCTCTGCCCATCCACCCCACTCACCTCTACCCCCAGCCTGCTTTTTCTTCTCAATTTTAAAGACAAAACTTCCCATTAGAAAACAAAATATTTATTTGCAGGTTTTCCCGCTAGCAAATCCTTCAGTACCAGGGAGTACAGGACTCTGTGGAGAAGCGCTCGGGCTTGGCTCAGTGCCCAGGACTCAGCTTTGCAACCAGCCAAGAACCCGGCGACCCAGCTCGCTGAAAGGGCCTTTTCTGGGTTTCTTGCCTGCTCCAAGCTGCCTGGTACCTATAGCTGTCTGTTTTTTAATCTTTTGGGAAGACAACCATCCCAATGACGCATGGCAGCCCAAATTATGCTTATTTTAAAATGCATGGCATTTAATAATCCTGCCGGAACACACTCTTCTGGCTGCATTAGGATCCAACTGGAAAATATAAAGACGAATCGCTGTAGGCTGGAAAATCAATTAGGAAAAAGGGGTAAAACATCTGGTGTTACTCTTAGGATATGAAAATTCATTTTGCACATTTAAAATAAATGTGCTGAGTTCATTTAATTGCCTGTTGAATGGTTTTGTGGAGAATGGGGGGTGGTTCATTGATTCTGGGCATTTTACAGCAAGGGGCATTGGCTTGGGTTCTTGTTTAATCTTAATGTTAAATCAATCTGGATTGTATTTCTAAGGTCTTTGCGTTTCAATCTACTTAGAATGGTGGTTTTCAAACTCAAGCGTTCATCAGAATCACATGGAGGGCTGCTGAAAACGCACATGGCTGGGCCTAGCCCCCAGAGTTTCTGATCCAGGAGGTCTGGGGTGGGGTCTGAAAATTTGCATTTCTAACAAGGTGCTGAGTGATGCTGATGCTGCTGGTCTGGGGACCACACTTGGAGAACTACTGGCTTCAGACAAGGGAGAGTCCTTGTCAATGCGCAGAGAAGGGAGGTCGTTTCTATAGGAACGTGGCTCAGGTTCCTCAGACTTGTGCTGTGCCCTGCAGTCCCGACTTCCTTACTGCAAGAGCGTGGCACTTTCAGAGAGCGTCCCTTCCAGGGCCAACTACACATAACCCCATCTCCTCTTCTTCACTTTCTTGTGCAAAAGGGGGTTTCATGCCCTTCTAAAGATTTATTGCTGCCATTCCTGAATTCAGAATACAACAGCGCTCTGTAAGTGTCAGCACTGGCACTTTGTCAGCTCCGCAGAGACCAGGGATACGAAAGCGAATAGGCCACAGTCCTGGCCCTGGTGGGCCAGGCAGTTCCGGGAATGCGTTCGCTAAGATCTCAAAGACAGCAGCTCCAATGGAGGCATTAGGCCCAGGGTACAACAGGAGCCGGGGAAGTTGGGGAGGGTGCCGTGAAAGAGGAGACATTTGAGCTGAGTCTTAGAGGAGTGGGTGATGCGCAGATGGAAGATAGAGCTTCTTTATATTACTGTGGGGCCTGCCCTCGGGGGAATAAAGCTCTCTTGGGTGAGAACTACCTTCTGCTTTTAGCCCCTCTGGCATACATTTCTTCAGTCAAGGAAAATGATGTTACTCAGCCAAGGCAAACAGAGCCTCTCCCCGGCCCTCCCTGTCCACACACAGGCCAGGAGAGAAGGTTGGTGATGATGGTTCCATTGCTTTCCCTGTGCCTTCCAGGGATGTGGGGCAGACACAAGGACGACAAGAACTACCTTTGTGATAACTGTGCTCCTGGGAAACAGGCAGCCTGGGCTCAAGGAGGCTGTGACACCACAAAGGGACCTTGTACTCCAGCCTGTTGAGGGACAGGCCCTTACAACTTTACTTGGTCCATCTCCTGGCCAGAGGGAGACTGCTCTCCCACTGTTAGCAGCCCCTTTCCTGGCTTGGGAGGTAGGAGTCTGGAGGACCCCCGTTCATTTCTTCCTGTTTATTCTTTTACCCAACAAATATTTGCTGTTGACTAAAGCACTCTGTACCTAGCATTATGCCAGGAGCTTGGGACCTAGTAGACAGCTAGGCAGGCATGGTGCCTCCCTCTGAGAGCTTTCCATCTAGCAGTGTGTCCAAACAACTTATAATAATTTATAACGATGATGATGATAGCTAATATTTATTGACTATGCGTCAGGCTCTATTCTAAGGCTTCTATCTGTATTATTTTATATCTGCATTAGTTATCTATTGTTGCATAACAAATTGTCTCCAAACTTAGTGGCTTACAACAACATTTGTTACTTCGCAGTTTCTGTGAGTCGGGAATCCAGGCACAGCTTACCTGAGTCCTCTGGCTCAGGGTCTCTCTTAAAACTGTCGTCAAGGTGCTGGCTGGGCTGGATTTGTTTTAAGGCCCGAGTGAGGAAGGATCTGCTGCCCAGCCCGCTCACTCGGCTGCTGGCAGGATTCGGTTCCTCACTGGTTGAGGCTGCCTTCGGCTGCTTGCCATGCAGGCCTCTCCGTAGGGCAGTCACAACATGGAAGCTTGCTTCATCAGAGCAAGCAAGAGAGAAGAGCCAGAGAGAGAGTGGGCAAGACAGAAGTCAAAGTCTTCTATATCCTAACCTTGGAAGTGACGTCCCACCACTTTTGCCATATTCTCTTTGTTACAAGCAACTAACGGGGTCCAGCCCACACTCAATGGGAGGGCATTACCCAAGGGCATGCATACCAGAAAATGGGATCATTGGGAGCTATTTTAAAAGCAGCCTACCACAAACTCCGCAGTGACTCTGAGGTAGGTACTGTTATCTTCTCTTATTGATGAGGAAACTGAGCCACGAGATGTTAGAGGTTCATGGCTATAAAACTTGTATGGACTTTTGCCCGGGCAGTCTGGCTCCAGGACAACAACCTGACATATATGGTGGGATAATGATTTGAGAAAAATCACCTTGACTGCAGTGTGGAGGATGGATTGGAACAGGGAAAGCCAGAGGCAGGGAGATCAGTGAGGAAGACTTTGCCCTGGTCCAGGTAGAGATGAGAAGGCCTGAACCAAAGACAGACATGGGGAAGAGAGGGCAGACTGGAAAGACATTCAGGAGGTAGAAGGTGTGGGAATCTGAGTGGGAGGCACCATGCTGACCCCGAGGATTCTGGCTTGGGTGCCTTTGAGGATGCTGATGCCATTATTTAAGACAAGAATAAGCTGAAGACGAGCAGATTTGGAGGGAGGGCACCAGAAGGAGATGTTGAGTTTGGTGTTATATATATTGAGTGTGAAGTGTCTTTGGAAATGATTCCTGTCCTTTTCATTCGCCTCACCTTCCTTCCAATACCACAATCTGTGTTGTTTCTGTACAAAGTCAGACTACTGTCCTGTTAAGGCCACAACCTATACGGATGAGAGAGGTCTTCTCTGAAGGGAGGAGACGTTCTTCAGGTTAACCTTCCTTGGAAGAAGCAAGTCTTGGGATAGGAGCTGTGGTCTTAAGAAGGTGGACCTTTGGCAACAGGGGAAGGAAGCTCCTTCCTCTCTCTGAGGACCCACTCTAGGCGAATTTAAGGTATTTCTGGGTGCTGATGGGGTGTGGGGAGGGGAGGAGACTTCTGCTCTAATTGGGTAGCCAGGGTAGGCAGAGATCTTACGAGGGCCATGAAGGCCAGTGGGCTCTAGGAGAAACCATATTCAATGGCCAATTGTGAGTTACCCTCGGTAGATAATTCCTCTATTCTTTTGGAACTTTCCATAAAGTTTTGCTAAATCTTCTAGCCTGGCTTTAGCTCTGCTGTGAAGATTTAAGAGAAGACTATTTTCCATATCTGGGCAGGTGGGAAAGAGAAACAGCACTTCTGAGAGTT